TGCCTGGGCAACTTGGCGAGACCGCGTCTCTACAATAAATAAAAAAAAATTAGCCGGGTGTGGTAGTGTGCGCCTGTAGTTCCAGCTACTTGGAAGGCTGAGGCGGAAGGATTGCCAGAGCCCAGCAGGTCGAGGCTGCAGTGACCAGGAGCCACTACACTCCAGTCTGGGCGACAGAGTGAGACCTCAACTCAAACAATAAAAAATAAAAAGAATTATCTTTTTTTCAGACATTACTTTGATGAACCGAAGTTGGCGCCATGGGTTACGTTGTCAGTACAAGGCTTTGCAGACAGCCCTGTTTCATGGAGAGAAAATGAACATAGTTTTCGAAAAGGAGGAGAACATTTATACAACTTCGTGATTTTTAATAATCAGGACTATTGGCTTCAGATGGCTGTTGGAGCAAATGATGACTGTCCACCATAAAAAAGACTAAAATTTAAAATCCTATTTATTGATGTTTGTGCTGGTGTTCAGGTTTCTTACTGATAAAAGGGCTGTGTGTCCACTCAGGCTTGTGTGATGATAACATTTCTCAGGTCAGCATCCGCTAGCATTCTACTCTGGATTTGGGGCCCGTCTGTGATGGCAGCTGGGCCTGTAGTTCAGTGAATAGCTCAGTTGATTTCTCTCCATCAGTATAAGCACAGGATTGTGAGTTACTACATGGCAGAGTGGACCAGGATGGCCAGGGACCAGGAGTTGCTGAACCATTGGGTGAGGTGTGTACTGTTATTCATTACAGCTTTTCAGGTAATAAAAAGGAAGCCTTATATCATCTTTACCCGGGCCAGTCCCTGTTGTAAGTGCTGTTCATATAGTGCTACATTAAATTATCACACCAATCCTATGAGGAAATTGAGGCACAGGATGTAAATAAGCTACCAAGGTCACTCTGCTGGTAGATCTGAGACTTGATTTCAGGCCAGCCTGACTTCCAAGTATATATATCATCTCACTCTGTGGCCTCTGGATGGCAAGATCTGTGGATACTGTAAATTGTTACCAAATAAGTTGAAATAATTTTATTCCCAGCAGCAAGGCTAATAGGACCTGCTGAAAACAACTAAAACTTCTGAGATACATACAAAGAACTTTTTTTTTTAGTTGGGGCCTCATCCTGTCACCCAGGTGGAGTGCAGTGGCATGATCATGGCTCACCTCAGCCTCAACCTCCTGGGCTCAGGCAACCCTTCAGCCTCAATTTCCCGCGTGGCTGGGACTACAGGCACACACCACTATGCTTGGCTAAGTTTTTAAAATTTTTGTGGCGATGACATCTCGCTATGTTGCCTAAGTTGATCTAGAACTCCCAGGCTCGAGTGATCCTCTTGTGTCTGCCTCCCAAAGTGCTGGGATTACAGGTGTGAGCCACTGCACCCAGCCTGAAGAACCATTTCTTAAAATGTAAAAACAGGGTGCAAAAGAATTAAGAGTTCTCTAAGGCAAAAAGCAAAATTTTTAAAAATGGAAGCAGAATCCCAAAGAAGTAGAGTGTTGATGACACTTTTCACCCTTTGTATATTTGCCAAATGTCAGTTGAGGTTTTTTGTTTTGTTTTGTTTTAACAGCCTGGGGTGGGGAAAGGGTGGCAGAACAGCAAACAAAGCTTAGGGCCTCTTAAGGTAGAAGAACTAAACAGGAGATCTCATAGAGTCAATAGTGTTAGGGTGAACTATGGATAAACCTGCCTTCTCCACCCATCCCCCCAGGCCCCTATGACCTCTGGAACAGCAAGAAGGGAAACATCTCCCTAGAAAGTATATGTATACCCACAGGCAGTTCTTACAGTGGTTTATTCGAACCACCTGGATAGTCTTAAGTCTCAAGCTGGAAATTTAAAGTGGTAACAGATTTTTAGTGCCTTATAGGTAACTGGCAGAAACAAAACAGATTGTCTTTGGAGGAACACAGTTTCAAGGAATATAAATTCATAGTAAAAAAAATCACTTGGTGAGACCACGTTTCTGCAGTAACTCAAAAATTAGCCAGGTGTGGTAGTGCGCACCTGGAGTTCTGGCTACTTGGAAGGCTGAGGTGGAAGGATCACTGGAGCCCAGCAGATTGACACGGTGGCCATGAGCATGCCACTGCACTCCAGCCTGGGTGACAGAGTGAGACTTCAACTTAAAAAAAAAAAATCACAGCCGGGCTCGGTGGCTTAGTCTGTAATCCCGCGCCTTTGGGAGGCTGAGGTGAGTGGATTGCCTGAACCCACGGGTTCGAGACCTGCCTGGGCAGCGAGACCTCATCTCTACAATAAATCAAATCAGCCGGGCATGGTAGCGCATACCTGTAATTCTGGCTACTCGGAAGGCTGAGGCGGAAGGATCGCCAGAGCCCAGCAGGTGTGGTGGCCACTGCACTCCAGTCTGGGCGACAGAGTGAGACTTCAACTCAAAAAAAAAAAAAAAAAATCACAAACACATAAAAGTAAGCATGAGCCAGCAGGAACAATGGGCAGAAGCAAGCAGGCCTAGAATGACTTAAGCTATTAGATATTATCAAAGGCATAAAGTATGGTTTATACTTCTAGAAATATGGGACATTAAATGGTATGTGCATACAAATAACCAAGCAGATTGGGGAAAGTGCCACGTAAAACTCCAGGCAAAATATCATAGTTAAGATGGAAAGTTCATTTGAATGGCTCAACAGCAGACTAGACACCACTGAAAACAGAATAGTAGCTATGAAAAAATGACATTTTCAAGCTTGCAGAAGACTGTCATCCACAGGCCTGCACTACAAGAAAAGTTAAAGAATGCCCTTCAGCAGAAGGAAAATGCCCACATAAGGAATAAAGAGTGCTGGAAAATAGTAACAATGTGGGTGAATACGTGATATATTCTTATTCAAACCTCTTTAAAAGGTAGTTGTTTAAACAAAAATGAAGTTCTGTGGGATTTATAGTGTATGTAAAAGTAGAATGGATGACCATAATAGCTTTTGATGTTCTTACACTGTCACTTGAAGGTAGATTGTGATGAAGTGAAGATGTGTACTGTACACTCTAAGGCAGCAACTATAATGACATACCTATCTAACAAAATATATAGCTATTTAATAAAAGATAAAATGGAATTATAAAAATGCATGATTAATCTAAAAAAGAAAAAGTTAAAAGGGAATAAAGACCAGATAAGATGATGACTAGAAAGCAAGATGAGAGACTCTCACTCTAACCATATCTACTGTCATATTAAATGTAAATAGTATAAATATCCCACTTAAGGCTGGACTCGGTGGCTCAGCCTGTAATCCCAGCACTTTGGGAGGCCAAGGCAAGTGGATTTCCTGAGTCTATGGGTTCGAGACCCGCCTGGGCAACTTGGTGAGACCTCGTCTCTACAATAAATAAAAAATTAGCTGGGCGTAGTAGTGCACACCTGTAGTTCTGGCTACTTGGAAGGCTGAGGAGCCTGGCAGGTCGAAGCTACGATGGCCAGGAGCGTGCCATTGCACTCCAGCCTGGGCGCCAGTGTGAGATTCCAAATTAAAAAAAAAAAAATCCCAATTAAAATGCAGAGACTTTCAAGTTGTATTGAAAAAAGAAGACTCCACTATAGTCTGCCTATAAGAAATGTACTTTAAATATAAAGACCCAAGTCGGGCTCGGTGGCTCAGCCTGTAATCCCACGCTTTGGGAGGCTGAGGTGAGTCAATTGCCTGAGCCCGCGGGTTCGACACCCACCTGGAAAACTTGGCGAGACCTCATCTCTACAATAAATCAAAAATTAACTGGACGTGGTAATGTGTGCCTGTAGTTCCAGCTACTTGGCAGGCTGAGGCGGAAGGATCACCAGAGCCCAGCTGGTCGAGGCTATGGTGTTCCATGGGTGTGCCACTGCGCTTGAGCATGGGTGACAAATTGAGACTCCAACTCAAAAATAAAACAAAAACCAGAAAGAACCTTGAAAATTCATCAAATATTTGGAAACTAAACTCAATTCTCGAGACCCACCTGGGCAACTTGGCGAGACCTCACCTCTACAGTAAACCAAAAAAATCAGCCGGACGTGGTAGCGCACGCCTGTAGTTCCAACTACTCGGAAGGCTGAGGCAGAAGGATCGCCGGAGCCCAGCAGGTTGAGGCTGCGGTGGCTGGGAGCAGCCACTGCACTCCAGTCTGGGCGACAGAGTGAGACTTCAACTCAAAAAAATAAAAAAATAAGAACTGAGAGGTGATATCAAGAAAGATCCTATAGATATAAAGGGAATATTAGGACCATTTATATAGCAATAAGTTAAACAAACGAAATGGACAAATCCCTTGAAAGGCCACAAATTAGGGTTAGGGTTAGCCCTTTATCTATTGAAGAAATTGAAACTGTAGTTTTTAAAAATACCTATAAAGAAAATCTAGACTCCAGACTGGCACAGTGGCTCATGCCTATAAGCCTAGCACTTTGAGAGACCAAGGAAGGAGGATCTCTTGAGCCCAGGAGTTGGAGACCAGCCTAGGCAACATAGTGAGACCTTGTCTCTACAAAAAAATTTAAAAATTAGCCAGGTGTGGTGGTGTGAGCCAGTAATTCCAGCTACTTGAGAAGCTGAGGTGGCAGGATTGCCTGAGCCCAGGAGGCTGAGGCTGCAGTGAGCCATGGTTGTGCCATTATGTGAAAATGTGAGACCCCAACTCAAAAAATAAAAAATAAACCTAGGCCCGGATGCCTTCAGTGGTGAATTTTGCCAAACATTTACAGAAGAAATACTAATCCATTACAAATCTTCCAAAAAAATAGAAGAAGAAATAGTTTCCAATTCTACAAGGCCAGAATTACTTTAGTACCCAAACTATACTGGTACCCTGACTAGACAAACATTACAAGAAAACAAAACTACAGAACAATATTCTTCATGGACATAGGGTAAAAATCCTAAACAAAAGTTTGTCAAATTAAATTCTACAATATAAGAAAGAGATAATACGTCATGATTAAGTATGATTTCCCCAAGTAATGCAGGGTTGATCTAACATTCAAAAATCAATCAATATAATTCACCATATAAACAAACTCAAATACGATTCTTAGGTTTTACGGAAGGAAAAAAAAACTAAAAAATTAAATTAATCATGTAATCATCTCAATACAGAAAAAGCATTTGACAAAATTCAGCATCTATTTTTGATAATCAGGCAAACTAGGAATAAAGGGAATTTTCTCAATCTAATTAATAAAGAACATCTACAAAAAGCCCACAGCTAACATCATACTTAGTTATGAAAGACTGAATATTCCCCCTCCCCCAACGTTAGAAACAGATCTGGGATGTCTGCTCTTATCATTTCTGTTTAACATAGTACTGAAGGTTCTAGACTGCAATCAGGGAAGAAACAGAAATAAAGGGCATCCAGATTGGTAAGAAAGAAAACTGTCTTTATTCACAGATGGCACGATTATCTATGTAGAAAACTCAATGGACTGTACAAACTAGCTTCTAGAACTGATAAGTGAGTTTATCAAGATTACAGGATACAAAGTATACAAAAATCAGTTGTATCTTTTTGTGCTAGCAATGAAAAATAGTACAATTCCTATTTCAATAAATACAAAATCTACAACATTTGCAATGGTGCAAACAAGTCTACATTTCCAATAGTAAAATGTCTGACAAAAAATGAGAAAGACCTGTACACTGAAAGCTACAAAATAATGCTATGATAAAGAAAACCTAAATAGGGAGCTATAACTTGTTCCTGGGTCAGAAGACTCAATGTTATTAAGATGTCATACTGCCGAAATATGGAATCATCCTGATGGAATCACTAGACCAGCAGGG